ACTTTAGCAGCGCAGGCTTAGTGTAATTTAGTTCAGAGGTGATAAAATCTCATTTTTAATATTCAAGGCTATAAAACACTTAAGTTAGTCCATGATACTTTGATCAAAATTATATATCAATGTAGACCTACTCAGAGCAGCGCCGCTTTGGTGATTATCAGAAAGCCGACTTTGGTCATCTTTGATTAGACGGACTTTAATTCTATGTGGACACCTTGTGTTCTAGGATGGTTAGCTACCACTGAAGCTAAGTACTTTTTAGTACACTTACCAAGGTGTCATATAATTCCCTGTGGCGCAAATTGAATGCATCTCATTGTCAAATTTAGACAGAGGTTCAATTACGTGTAGCTATGATATAAAACTGCCTGTTTGCAGGGGTTTAAAACATGTTATAGATTAATGCGTGTTATGGTGTTATAGACCTAGTTGTCAAAGTGGAGTGATTTTGATCTTTCAAATTAGCGTGATTTAGTAACATTACATTGTCAGAAATAGAAAGGCATTAGCAGCGCCTTGTTTCGATTTTGTGATAATAACTAAAGCATATTCCATAATGTTTCAATTTGCAAATAATATAAACACACTAATGTACTGACAAGTTATGCAAAACTATGATAGGCTTTTGAAAATTTCTATGATTCAGTATAAAATTCTGAAAAATATAATATAAGTGAGTTTCTGTTTTCGGGGTCTCTGTTTTCGATGGAATATCGAAAAGAGACCCAAGGATACGAAAACCGAAACCGAAAGGTTTTGTCTTCAAATAAGTATTTTTTGTTCATAAACGCATTTAATCCTTATACGCATACTGGTTAGCTATCACCCCGGTACGCGCGCCCCTAGTACCAGTTACCCGTCATTTACATGACTTTGTTACGTGTGAATTATTTTAATGTCTATAGTTGCGATCCAATCCTGTTTTTACTTATGTGGTCGAATACATGTGGCTGAAAAATGAATTCATTGGAGCAAGGAGGTATAAAACCAAGTTGGAAGAAATAAAATATATTTTGCCCGAAAGACAATCTGTCGTCCATCACTTAGCTAGCTTATCAGGTAGTGCATCGAAGAGTCAATTAATAAATGGTTTGTTCGAACTCATAAATTAAGAGCTTTAAGTCATGTGTCATTACCAAATCCAAGAGAAGGTAGGTTCCGTTTTGTAGAGAGAGATACTTAATAATTAATTTATTGTTGTATCTAAATGTCTTTATAATTCATTTTGTTCCTTGCTCAGAAGCATACATGTGCTGTTGTGTAATTACTTCGTGAAGAACAAATGGATTCTTCAATCTTGAATGTATTTTTAGAGATTATTATTCGCAATGCCGATATAGACATTTTATAATCCCAAGTTGTTTTCCCATTAAGCTTAGGTGATGATGAATTTATCCTATCTGTAGGCCTATAGAGAGTAAATACTACTAAATTGGTCCTAGCTTTTTACGTACCTAGGAAAAGTGTCATTATTAAATCCAAGAGAAGGTAAGTTCCGTTTTGTAGAGAGAGATACTTAATAATTAATTTATTGTTGTATCTAAATGTCTTTATAATTCATTTTGTTCCTTGCTCCGAAGCATACATGTGCTGTTGTGTAATTACTCTGTGAAGAATAAATGGATTCTTGAATCTTGAATGTATTTTTAGAGGTTATCATTCGCAATGCCGATATGGACATTTTATAATCCCAAATTGTTTTCCCATTAAGCTTAGGTGATGATGAGTTTACCTATCTGTAGGCCTATAGAGAGTAAATACTACTAAATTGGTCCTAGTCTTTAAGTACCTATAGGAAAAGTTACTTTGATCATCTGTTGACCCGCGGCATATTCCAGTACAACGCCACTCTAAATTGAATTTTAAGTTGTTTCTTGTTTCTAGTTTTAGATCTATCATAGTGTTTAAATACCATTGATACCCTTTGTCTGTTTTAACATCTTCAATTATGTGCTGAACCTCCAACTACTGTATTACTGTAGCTATTCCTCTATCACTGCTGCGTCACTAGTAGTTGAGCATAATCGTTGATTATTTATACCATGTAGGTATTTTTAACGGGCTCATTTTCCAGTTACAAATCATATATTTGCAACACTGAAACGAATAACAAAAACATATTTTATATTGCATCACACAATTTGGTGATTGAATGGAAATGTTCAGATTGTATATTGACTACTTACTATACATTGTTACATTACTATTATATAAAACGTAAACTACCTACGTGCTTGCGCAGCTTACTTAAATTGCTTATGACGTCCAAACTGCACACACACATAAGAATTTTTGTCATCATTGTACCCTGGTCTATTTTGCAACAATAATTATTTAGAACACGAGCAACTGAACTACGAATTCTATAATGAAAATATATACAGTGCTACTTTAGTATAATTTATATTAATGGCACAATTTACTAATGTAATTAACGTATAAATATTATCGTAATTCAATATGAATAAATATAAGTATTCTTAAGATTTTTCATTTCATTTATTATGCCTCAAAGATATAGAACAGAATACATCGTAAAACATGTGTAAATGAAAGGAAAAAAAAGAAAAAGAAAACGAAAAAAAAAACCACAAAAAAAAAAAAAAAAACAGGCAGAGACAGGATTCCTAAAAATTGAACGAAATCTCTATCTGGTAGGTATCCTATTGCACTGTTTAGAGATATACATTAGAATAAACACACGATAATAATAATAATAATAATAATAATAATAATAATAATAATAATAATTATTATTATTATTATTATTATTATTACCACGACCACCATCATTATATTATATCATAAATATTACTTAAATTTAATTTCATTTAAGACGATTACAATATAATTTACAACATGTATATAAAATATCGTTTAAACTTATTTGAAATAATATATTTTACGATAGATTAAAAAAAGATACGGTAATTATTTAAAACTAACGAATCTCTAACACCTTCTGAGATAATAGAATAACAGTAAAATTTGCTCATTATTTAGACCCCCTCATCTAATAATTACTCTCTCCCAGGAGTTTTTATTAATCGCTCTAGGCCTATTAGTTTATACAGTAAACAACAAATTTACATAATTATGTACGTTTACGTATTCATAGTTCTCAGATCACTTCAATTAGTTATCAGAACTACTAAAAGTCTTCCCATTTTTTAATTAAAATGCTTTCTAATACACAGCTACTTACGGAGATAATAGCAAACAAAATGTATATTAATTTCCAGTTCTACCTTCCAATAAAGAAAGCTGTATCTCTTATACTTTTCATAATAATTATGAAGCAGTTTGTGTTACCTATTTCCAGCTTTTATTGCAGTCTCTATGAAATTGGCACAGCATGGGTATAATTTGCTTTCTCTCTATTATAGAAAGAACGCTTTTGTCTATAAGAACATTTCGTCCACCTACAATACCATACAATATTATTTTTTGCCAAAAAAAAACACATTTAAAAAACTTACTCTGTTCGCCTTTAAATGATTGGTTGTTGTTTTGTTTTAATCAACAGTACCTTGCTGTCTCTGGTTAGACGAAAGAGGCGTAGTTGTTGACAGTACGGTACTCAATAAATATCGCAGATACAATCGTCAATTTAAATCCGTTTAAACGTGTTAGTGTAGTAGTACATTAAACCTGCTTGTAAGACAACATATTTTTAATAAACTTGAGTCTGGGGTATGTAGCCATTGAGACATTAGTAGAATTTTTTTTAATAAAACGAAATGCGGTTTATTTTACATCTGGAGTGTATTTATTAAGTATCAGTTATTCATAATGATTTACTTTCGCTTCCTTACAAGGAAAGAGTCAGTGGCGGCGCCAGGATTTCCCCGACAGGTGGGTCAGGTCCCCGACGGGAGGGCTGATGTCCCCGACGAGAAAAAAGTGGTCGTGGTCGGGCGTCGCTAAAAACCTTTCAAAAGTGGTCCAGGTGACGTAGCCCCTCCGAAAATATGACAATTTAGGGGTTTCAAAGGCTTATTTAATCGATTTTAGAGTATATTAATATGCAAAAATATGTACAAAATACATATAATTTTTTTATTTTTT